CTAATGAAACAGATTATTGAAACTCTAATTGGATTTAGCACCACTAATTCGGAGTTTCACTTGCGGCAAATAAGGCTTGCATATTTTGAAGCCCCCGTTTCATCAGTTTGCGCGTACCAAGACAGGATCTGCGCGTTGGAGGTTTGTGTACACGTTGTTTTTACTAGATATGGGTTTGTTTTTCACTGGATTTGCTCAAGTTTTGAGGTAGAGCACTAGACAACCGTGAGCCTCGCATTTCGGAGTCAGCAGTATTGCTTAGGTTTAGTGAACCATCAGTGACTCTAGTTGTGGATACTTGTGTTGGGCCCCACACTGTCGGCGCCCAACAATTTAGGTGAAGTGCTTAAGTACTTGATGCTGTTGAGTCTAACGAAAAGAACGCAACACCTTTTCTGTGTTCCTGTTGGCTGTTTGGAAGGATTCGATTCATTGGTGCCAATCAAGTGCTGTAGGCCGTCCGCCTTAAAGGTTATATCTATTGGCGATAAAGTAAACAATTCCTGAGCGATTTTCTCCAAACAAACTACCATTCTCGTGATCCGGTTTTACGCGTGATATTCAATTTCTATATATACCGTTCAGAAGTGGAGCAATAGCATATCGATTCTGTAGGTGAAGATAAATTATTATGTGCATTCTGTATTCACTGACACATTGTGCTAAGCTCACTCATTGTGATACTCAGTAAAGCAATGCATTTGTCCTCCTACCATGAATCAAATTATTAGGTAAAGAAAGTTACCATCACGTTCACCTGGAGGTTATAAGTTCGAATCTTACCGCGACGACTACGAAGACGGCGACGACGACGACGACGACGATCACTATCACCACCACCACCGCCACCATTACCACTAATACTACCGTCGTAATGGATGCTTTGCGTGTTTGCTATCAGTAACTTCACTATCAGATAATAGGGGAATTGTGAAACAGTCGATTACTTGAATTCATTCACACTGATTTACATAAATTTTGCCTCATGTGAGACCAATTGTTGAGGGTCATGTTGGACAGCAAAGTCACAGAAAGTGAAGATAAAACTGTTTTCCATTCGTCTTCTAGTCATAGTGCATTTGCCTTACGATTTCATGTCAAATGATCTAGGTTAGCACAATCTCCGACAGGTTTTAGTTAAATAATGATGTTAATTATTAAAACGATGCGAACCGAACTTCAGTTTAACTAACGCAACACAAGTTTGGGGAGCTGTTTGGCGAGCTCAGATCGAAATTCCCCATTTGCATCATGATACAATTGTCAGCCTCAATTTTCGTTGAACATTACTCATTTGAACCTTTTTTGTACTCACGCACGTCAGTCAATCTCATTTCAAGTATGGGAGGAAGAAAGCACTTGATGTACGCGCACCGGAATGGATGCGTTGTAGCTGTGAATTGATTACCGGACGATCGATAAATTTATAGGAAGGAGTGGGGACTCTGTCTTCTGGGTAATAAAACCATTGGAGAGACCAGATGTGTGCTTTCCAGCTGAAAAAAATAACACAAGGAAATCGGTGTGTTACTCTATTTCGGTGGCAAGCGAATGGTTATAATGAAAGACCTTTTGATTTCTACGAAGGAATCAACTGGTCACTTGATCATTCACAAAATATGATCAATCCGTTCGAAAACTACGCTATTTTTTGTCATTTTTCTTTCTTTTTTATTTATTGAATACAGGAACGGGGCTGTGGTCATACAAAGGCTGCCTAGGAGAATATAGAACTAGGGAAGACGGGCGGCGGTGAAGTGGTTAGAACCCGGGAAGTCCGGGTCAAAGTTCGGTGACTTAACCACTTGGCCACCGCTGAGAGGATTGCTAAATAACTGGCAGTTGAACGCACGATGACTTTTGAAGATTCCCTGAATGGCTGACTGCTGAAAGCCGCATGCAGAAAATATTCTGCAGGAAGACAATGTCCACTTATACGAACTGTCTTCGATGTTCGCTGCACTTCATGACTACCTGGATTTTCCGATGTGAATTCGATTGAACACTGCTTGAAATATATCACAAGCAAGTATTAGGATCCTCAAGCTACCTTACTTCAGTCGACCCGAGCAAAAGGCTTGTCATATGTCGCAAAAGAATTTCTCGAGGGTGAAAAATAAACCTTTTCCACAACATACCACCTAGACTGCGGGCTCCGGTTGCTATCAAACTTCTCCACCAACTATATAATTTTGTTTCGTTTGGAAACAGACTGATTTTTGTATTTCTCAGTACGGCTCTGCACGGTTAGGGTAAACCTGTGCTTAATTTAGCCTAGTGTATGGGGGTTCGTTTAGTTTGGCCAGTCGTTAATGAATCCACTTAAACTTGTGTTCTTCATCATTGCGGTGCAACCGAAAATGAACTAAAATGTCTCGTGTAGTACATGCACAACTAGACGAATTACTCCGTCAACACGGTCTTGAATGGGACACGAAATCTACGAAGTCTGTTCGGACCTCGCGCGCTATTTTTCACTATTCTCTTCAAATGAACAGGTGGGGAATAGAGCCTTGAAGAACCGTGGTATTGACTGATTTTCATATTCATGATTGGGAAGAAAATTAGAAATGAAATGTTTTACGTATCCTAAAATGTTGTCTGTCGATTTTTCTTACTTTTTTCATACGCGGCCTCATTTGAAGGAAGATAAATATGACTGGGTTTTACCTCGCTTGTTTTATCCTATGCAAGAGTAATCGATAATAATACTATTTACTCAACAGTTAACTCACGAAAATAAATATGGGAAATGAACTACGAATTCTAAATGATTTTAAAAATATTTATTAAAGGTATTTGTTTTTTGTATGCTATCAATTCTCTTAGTAGAAGGCCAATGAACCGCACACGTTTTTACTTTGAACAAAAGTTAGCAAATTAAGGAAAAGTACATCCCAAAATCTCAGACTAAAGGCAGAAAAACCGGCGTAGAATAGCTCTGGTTTTTGTCGAACAGTGTGTAGACAGATTTAGTCGCATTCAGACTTTGTGGATTGATTGCTTTCCAGTCCCGATGACCTTGCGGTCTTGGGACAAATGTTATGAAAAACACAACACTTCTGGGTCAGATCAGGAGGATGGGGAATAGCGTGGCCGAATGTTACCAAATTACAGACAGAGAAAAAATCAATCCGGCAACTAGCCGTGACCAAATAAACCTAATTCACCATATAAACGATTATGTATGACTGAAGGGCAGTGGTCGAGGTCGTGCTAGATTTTCGCTTCACAAGTGAGTTTCTTAAAAATTCCACATTTCTGTGAACAGCATAATGATGTGTGTCAGTAGAATGCACACCATACTATCGCTACCACCTCTATCTCCACTCATCTATCTGAGGAAGTGAAAGAGGTGAATGAACCAAACAAATTGGTCACGAACTGTCCTGGATCAATGGTATTGCATTTGATATTACATGGACTAAGGGTATGATAAAAAGCTGAAAATAACCCCTAGCAGTATGTTCCTTACTTCGCATAAAACCCCTTCCGGGAGTTCATTTTACGAGATCCCTGGTAGGCGAGATAACTTAAGCTTACCTTCTAGCTAATGTGGTTATTCATTAAACTTGAATTCTCAATAACAAATGGGTTTTACCTGTTGCCACTTGCAGTATCAGAAAGTTGATAAATATAGACATCCATTGTATTGTCATAAAGTGCCTAGACGAACGTAGAGTATACATTCATGGGCTGTCCAAAATGCAACTACTTAAATGAAATACTGAAGGCAGATATCACAACCAAGCACTTTTACTGGATACATCAGCACGTATCAGGCGAAACCTTTGATCTGCTTAGTGCCACACATGCTTTCTTCCAATCCCTCCATTGGTAGCAGGAGACTGGACTGCGAAAATCAAACCCCCTAGCTGATCACTTGCTCCAGGATTCGAGCCTCACTGTGAAAATGGAGAAGTATAGTACCATTCAACTACCTACATGGAGCGGCTGTCGCTTACAATACCTTGGAAAATATCTATTGCGGTGGAACTTAAACGGCAGCAGCACAGTATACCAGATAGGTTCTTTTCGGAAATCGATTCGTTGGAGATCTTCTAAAGAATGCTGACGATTATATCATTATTTTGAAATGAGGAAGAAAATGGTAAAATATATGTCCTCCGGCTTTCCGAGAAACATGAACTCAAATTTGAATGATTCCATCGACTGGATATTACCAATATTGTGGAGCCTACAGTAACCGGATAATCATCAATGAATGCAGAGTTTGTGTGAATGATTTTCAGGACAGGGACTGCGGTTAATTTTGTGACCGTTTGAAGCCGTATAAAAAGAATATCTATATGGTTCTGACCGGATTCAAACGTGTGACAACCGGACCACTCTAATGATAAAATAAATCACTGACGATCACCGACCATGAAGCAATAATTCTGACAGTAGTGAGATGGACCAATGAGGGAAAGAGCAGTAGAAGAAATGCTGGACCTACTTACATTAGAAGTTATAAATACTGCTATAAATAACATTCGTATAATGTATGGTGGTCTTGGTAGTTGTACAAGCAGTAGATTTCGCAGTAATAATGGAGTAGTTTGAGAATAATCCACTGAGATTGCTGTTTAAGGATAACACTTGTAAGTGAATTGCATCGGTAAGTACAAAACCGCTGAAGGAGAATCGAGTTGAATTTAAAAACCCAAGAAGATTGTTAATATCAAGAGGCCTTGCACTTTATCATATCGATCAACCACTTTGAGCATGGTCTGGCATGGAAAAGGGAGCAAGAAAATAAACCAGTGGTTCGGCATCCCCATGGAACCTCTTGCTCGATGATACATAAATATATATATATATATATTTCAAGGGAGACTGAAGACGTAGATTGAGTGGTAAAATGTTTGTTGTTACGTTTCGATTCAATCTAGGCCTCGTTTTGAAATGCAAATATATGTATCAGGTACTCGTTTCATCTCAGGACCTTTGGGTCAACTATTAAATTAGCTAAATCTCAGTTAACATTCAAACGTACCCCAGGTATAGCGTCCTAAAACCACTTACTGCCCTGGTCCATCACTCTGAATGTAGATAAAGAAAACGCAAACGAAGGGCATATGTTCACTGGTATTGATCACCATTCAAGGACTTAATCTTCTTAGAAATCAATCTTTTTCATCGCGGTTCAACCACACTTGCGAGCCACTCATGAAATCCGAACAGCTGTTAAGGTACACCACCCTAAAAGGATATATGGGATTAGTTCAAATAAAAATCGTCTTCCATAAGGTAATAAACCACATGAGAATCTCTCAAACCAAGTGAAACTAACTCTTCAGTTGTTATAAGTCCCGTGGGGTTATATTTCGGGTTGTGGAAAAAGCACAGCGTGTCACTGACTGATGCGGTGGGTTGTCAGGTTTTATGATTCATTAGAAGCATATTCACCTAGAGATGAACCCAAACACCAAGATAGATCTAGTGGGTTTGGAATGGGGTAAGATAAATTCTTCGCTCATGAGAGCTCAAAGACTGTAAATCAAATATTAGTAACTGGAAGTTTCTTCCGCGTGTGAAGGGAGGAGCGAGGGACGTACGATTATGGTTGAAGAGATGCTCTTTTCAGATATTGAACGTTAATGTATATTGGTGGAAAATCCTGTGGGAAATTCTTTTCAACGTTGGAGTAAACTGAAGAAAATGAAATATCTTGCACATTTACCGAGACGGGTGACTTTGGCCAGAATGTGGTTAGGTCATCTGAACAAGAATATATAATGAATGGAGCTTTCCGTGAGGCTGATTGTTCAAAGCCTAAGTGTCATGCACAATTTATCCTCACCTGAGAGTGTCATGCAGATTGTGCTGTTCACATGCATTAGAGAAATTGCAATCACTTTATTGTTTTTTATTTTTTTACACATTCTTAACTGTACATATTTTAATCCTCAAATTATCAGTATTGGAGTACAAATCTGTCTATAGTGATTTCGAGCCACCACGCAGCCTGTTAGATGAAAGATAAATGATAATTATTTTCGTCAGAAGCAAGTTTCACAAGGAGTTTGAATGTTACGAGAGCTATTTACCGCCCAGTTTACAAACAACAATACAGCTAATTACTTGGGAAGGTTGGCTTATTTTTCGAAAGATTTCTAACGGTTTTCTATGGAAATGATGGGCTTTTCTGGTGTTCCTTAATTGAAAACTTTTATGCATATGTTAGGTCATTTTGTCAATTGCACTGTTTCCATCCTGTTGTTTTGTGCATCGATTAGGAGTATTACAATAACAGGACGATGATTTCACACATTGTAATTTGAAATCGGCCACAAAGTAGTAATACTAGTGTATCTCAAAGAATGATCATTGGCTCTTAAGCAATACTGCTAACATTTCCTTGTGATGAACCACAATGATTTAGAAACAGTCTTAGTCATAATATGCTACATTTTGGTTTATTTGCTCTTTGCAGCATTGAGCAAGAAAAATCAGAAATCTGAGACCAGTACTACCTATTAGACGCGAACAAAATTTTGCAAAGTACCAATTCAATGTGATGGATATTCAATACCGCCACCCGAAATTTGGTGGTAGGTAGCTTTACTGTCGTCCGGTTCAATGCTACGTCGAACCTAGTAGAGCTTAGTGTGGTTTGACCCTCCCACTCCCGGGGCTTAAGTTGCTGGTTTCCACCAGTGAACAGCAGATATTTACGCTGATGGGGTCCACTCCGTCTGCTGTGCAATAAAATATGACTTATTTAGATCCTCCACCCAAGTTTAAATCTTCAAAAGCTTCAAAAACGTTGTTGATCGGTTCTCCTAAAAGAACTGAACAGTGTAAAACTAATCAAAATGAGAGGTAAATGATATATCCATAATCACCTTAGGAACAATAAGAAGCAAACGTCGAAGCAATGGTCTAAGTTTTTAACCTCTCTGTTTTCGAAAAATAGGAACAAGATGGTTATAGCATGGAAAGTCTAACTAACTGCATTTCCCATAGACCGACCACGAGGCTGAAAAATGCAGTAAATCACCAAAACATTTCAATTATGAATTGTTCTTGTGCATATCTAGATAGAGAAGAATAATCAAATTAGTTCCCGGATAGTCTCACGGGATCCGGGTTTGTATTGTGTCTGGCCGCCTCATATAGGGCAACAAATAAGACGAAAACAGTGTTTCACAGAAAGTGATTCTCCGTTCAAAAATGATCAGATTTGCATACAATTAATCTTATTTCGTGTGCGAATCGGTCCACGAAGCAGTAGTATGAAATTTGAATTAACAGCGTTAGGCAATGGATAATAACCGTGCCACCTTGTGCAATCCACAGTTGTTTTTCCATATTTTGCTAGACCGCTTCCATTAATGGAACGACGGAACGGTCATAACACGAAGTGAATAACAGTCAAATTGAAGCCAAATCACTAATTGAGAACGACGAAGAATGCCATTGCCTTAATCGGTGAACAGCTTTGTCCTGGTATGGTTGTCACGTTTTAACCGATGATTCAGCACACATAATTACAAAATTACAATTATAGCAGATCACATGCTGTCTCAACTGATCAAATTTTGCAGTTTTTCTCAGGTATTTTCAATGCAAATTTTCATATGTTCATTTTTCATAAGTTTGCTTTCTTATTCTAGAGAGAGTCAATCCCAAAGCTAAATCATGCATTTGGAACCAAGACTATTGAGGCGAGAGCCAGAGAAGGTAGACAAATGGGAAAATCGTAACAGAAAATGAGCGACATTCTAATCACGGTCAATAAGATGACATTGTAGTAAGAAAAAGCATAAGTTCTGTGATTTCTGTTTAGTTACAAAACACCGGTCTAACGGAGTATATTCCATTTTTATAGCTAGGCAACCACTCAAGCACATATAAATGATGGCACTCAATTAAATGAGAAGAATTTATTACTTTGGACAATCAAGTTCGAGCATTTTATAAACGTGTAATTGATTTTTGTATTATATATGTTTATGTTTAATGTTTGTTGTTTCATGACTGTTTGAGTCGGTTCAACGTTATCAATATAGTGCTTCGTGTCCAGAATCAGTTTGTGCTATCATCAGTTCAGGCTCCGGATTCGGCCAAATTGTTCTGCATTTTGTCAGATGAAGCTTTGCTCTAGATGGAGCAAAGAGTTACTTGAGAATTGTGTTGAAAAAAGTAAGAAGTATCAGTGTATCGATTGTTACCCTCAGGAATTGTAGAGCATTTAACCTAGTTTACATTATTAATGTATTTCGGGGAACAGGATTAAAACACATAGCGAGTGATTCAGTCATGTTTCGCTAAATATTCATCAGACTAAAGCAGTGCAGGATTTGTTTCAGTTATGTAGCGAAATCGGTAATTCGCTATACCAGAAAGATTAGGTGAAGGAAAGGTAAGAATTACGCTTGATCTACATTACCAGGCTGGATTCACCCAGTAGCACATCTGGATTTAAACTCGGTTGTACTTCTATGTATATATGAGATAGGCGGTCCGCAATACGTGTATACCTAGTGTGTGTGTAGTCATAAGTAGGGAGTATGCCGTCAATCAAAAACGAATCGGAAATAAATATGAAAAATTGGTTAACATTCCCAAAATGTCTTCATAATCTTAGCATGTGACACATGAATGCACAAAACCTCTGGAGGTAACGCTGACCGAATTTGTTTTCTAGACTTGCCCGGCGGCTATTATCCGAAAGAATGTGGCAGCAGTCCTCTCTATCGTTGAGTGCATTTTGCAGAATGCTGACCGATGAACCTGTGTGTAAAAAATTCCATTAACTCTCTATTTGGTTTTTCCGCAATTTCATAGAAATTAAATCATCAAGATTAAGTAAATTAGATATATTAATGAGAAAACTTTATATCAATTAGCAAAAGTCAACAGATTTCAATTATGGCTCTCCTAAACTGATTTTTTCCTTTCGAGAAAATGTGTCCCTATGGGGTTGAAGTGTGATTAATTCCACCCTGGTAAAGTTATTCCTATAGCACATACTTCTAGTTAAGTCCCAATTGCACAAACGTCAATTTTGTCCCGCTCATGACGATATGAAATAATACCCCACACTCATAAATCCACCATCCCAACTTATCATCCCAAAATGGTTTTTGTTTGGTTTTAATCCGATCAGTCAACTGACCTGTATAGGTTGTTTTGACATTCCCGTAGGTCACGTTCTACGGTAACATGGACTCTGTGGACAGAGATGCGATTTGGTTTCATGATCATGCTTCGCACCCGAATTTCAGGAGTGAACATAAGATTTATCTGTGATATTCTTTCCCAAATCGCTGAATGAGACTTTCCACCTGCCAAAACAGCATCCCAGATCGTGGAATAGAACCACCGTGGGAGCGACAGCTGAAATTCACCTTGGTTTGAGGCACATACTTGCGGTAATAGGGGAGGCCATCAGGGAAGCTTGAGATTGCAACTTTTCTCCTTACCGAATATACCTCATTTTCATGCCCAGTTTTATTGTTGTGGCTTCAAGCCCGCACAATTCACCCATCAATTAAACTGGCTGTCATCCAAGTAAATGATCATTCTTCCTGATAAATCGCATCTGTTTCTTTATCCGCAGCACACTAACGCCCAAATGTAATGATCTCTCTAACGATGACGTACTTGCATTGTCATGTAGGAGTGAACCCCTACACTAATGGAATTCGGCGGTGGATATTACAGCTAACGATACGGACGTGAGTCTACTAGAGGATTAAGAATAACCATCGTTGGTTGGTAGATGTTTTCGTCTGTGGTCTAAATAATGGTGCCAAGGTTTTTCCAAGCTTACATTTTCTTTTGTTCCGGTCCAGATAGCTCCGAATCACATAAAATCCGGCAAGTTCGTCAGATGCCACGTCCACGATGCTTGGCTTGGTTGTGGTTGTTTACTTACTATGTGTGATGTGAACATAGCTCATTATTCCGCAAGTGGAAATAGCCTCCAACATCTGTGGGAAGATGGACTCATGTAGACTACGCGGCATGCTATGGAATTCAAGTGAAGACAAGAGCGCTTAGCACATGATTGGTGGCATTTCTAACTCC